TGGATAATTTGCATACCTGAATTTACTATATCATCTTTTGAAATAGAGGATTTTAATGAGAGATTTTCAGCCTTTCGTATCAGTGTACCCCTTGTACATGCATCAGACTCATCCTCACACCTATTCCAGCATTTGAGGGTGACATGTAAGAAGTTTCAAATGGTCTTATTATTAAGACTGCCATCAGAAAATGCCGCAAAACCTTCTGAGGGTATAGTTAGCCAGAGATCAATTGCATAGGTGTTCTGCACAGAAAGTCTTTGAGTAATTTGAGAAATTAAGCTAAACCAAGTCCCAAGTATTTATGCTGACTAGAAGCTCATAAAGAGCTATAGTATCGTTATATCTCCGTTAAAAGTAAATTTCTACAGGATCAGTATTTCCTTTTTGCGAATAAGTTCTTATTAAAATTCGTGTTAATTAATAAGGAACTAGATCTTACGGAAACTGGATATGAAGGAGGTAAGTGGCCAAGATAATCGGTTATATGCGACTAGGGCAGAAGAAATAGAAAAGACGACAACTAGGCTATAGTTATAATAATTTTGCGTGAAGGTAGGGACAATAAAATCATACATTTGTCTTCGAAATATTTTAAGTTGATAGCAGATTTTAATTTTTCTGGTAGTAATTCAAATATCACAATCCTGCTAGTAGGACAGAAGATTTGAGACCACTATATATATTACAGCGTGTACTTTAGTTTGCTAATAAAAGCTGATTCGCTCTATCTGTTAGAATCAGGTATTTAAGTAAATCAACGCCAATTAACTTTTAGGTTAGGCAAAACTAATTTGATCAAAATTAGTTACTTTTTTATATGGAAAAAGTTGAAATATAATTTCAGATATTATTTTATTATGCTATAATGACTTAAATTGGATATCTAAATGAAATATAACTGTATTTTTCAAAAACTATTAAATTCAATTCACATATGAAGAGAGAAGAGATTCATTATTTGGCCCTACAATGGATTGTAGCAAGATGACATTTGGATCTTCGAATTGCGTGATAAGTTGTTTTTCATGATAGCTCAGTAATTGAGACATCATCTCTCTGTACAAGCTCAGCCAAGAATTCCGATCATCTTCAGGATTCAGATAAAAATATCATTCTGGCTTCCCCATAGCAGCAAGTAAAATCAAATAGACTTTTCTTAAATTGCCTACTATTATGTTGGTTGACATGGGACTGTAATTATACCGATTAATGAATGATCCACCAGAAATTTAGTTCAGATATCCAGTACAATGTGCAAAGAAATCTTACAGTTCAAGTTACTCCTCAAGATGAACCTACAATACCCAGCGGATTTTTGTGAATTTATCTTGTGCTAATTTGTGTTTATTTGTTGTATAATAGCTTGGAGAAGATTTTAGCTAAATTTT